TCCCAGGGGGGTTGCACTTCAACTCTCAAAAACAACTCTTATCCTCCAGCACGTTACTTATACTGCCAAATCGTGAAATTAATAACTTTTATCCAGTGAAGAAGAAGATATTCTCTCAACCTTAGTTAGCTAGTCCTTGTTTTAAGTTGTTTACAAGGCGGGGAGACGGACTTCCTCTTTGCGCCTACCCCGTTCGTTCCAAATTCGAAAAATTTTTCCCTTTTAAGTCCAATTTCCATATTACTCACGGGTTGTTACTTTTAATCCAGATGTTCAAAGGAAGAAGTCAGCGCTCTCCATCCATGGCATGCGGCTTCACTCAGCAGGGGAAGCAGAGGACTCTCAGCACCGCGCCGCTCCCCGTCCCCCGTTCCGTAGCCTTTAAAAAGGCTCATTCGCGGGTCGGGGGGCGCAAAGGTGCCTGCCGAGTCACCAAGTCCACAGGCTTCCGCGCCTGTGGTTTCTAGGGGTCCCTGCGTCGCCGCCGTGGCAGGACCCGACCCCTGCTGAGCTGATTCCCTCCGGAGCTCGGAGGGAATCCGCCATTAGGCGATGGCACTAACCCGGAAGTTTTTTTAATCTTGTGCTTTTAGCAATAATTGACAGCCCCTTTTAATCTAGCAATATTGTAAATTTCCATTATTTGCCTTATGCATTTTTCTCAAAGTGTACCTCACCAGCCTCTGATTCCTCTTTCAACAGGAGAATACATCTATTTCTTCCAAAGTTTTCAATCTCGGGCAGCTATTCTGTCAAAGGACTATTAAGAAAAATGGGTATTACTGACGTATTCACAAACAGAGCAGACCTCTCTGGATTTACTGGGAACCCTGATCTGAAGGTTTCCAAGGTAGGCTTCTCAAAATCAATCACGTTGATCCAAAGGCTCTTTATTTTATTTCACCCTACACTTTGAGTCAAATGTTTTAGAGTGCTTGCACCACAATCCCATCTCCCATGAAGAGGAGGAGCCAAAAAATACTTGGTATTCCAGCTGTGCTGATGAAGAGGCACCACAAACTGTTTGATGACAGTTGAGGAAAAGCCCCAGGTCTTCTAACAGAACTGGTGAAGAAACCCTTAAGCCCTGGCTAACATCATATAAATAACAGCATACATAAAAACAGGCATCAATTAATTAAAATACATCCTAAAATTAATTCAGACAAATTAAAATCTGGACAAGTAGCAGTTATCAGGTTAAGACTGAGAGCGGTTAGTACTTGCCAGGACCAACTGTTTTCACTGATCATATAAGGCCCTGTGAACAGGCTGGGAGGCCTCCTTCATGCTTGTTCTTATACAAAGGAAAATAATTATGCACCAAATTCGTCTTGTCTGACTTCCTCCCATGGCTTCCAATTTCAATCAATCGCCATCTTGCATATCATTATTTTTCCTCTATAAATTTCAAATCTTATTTATGAATAGATTGTCCAAATTTAACCCATCATAAATGTTGCAACCCTGCTAATGTTTTAACATATTCAGTGTTCTATAACATATTCTATAATTTTTTTCCAATCTTGTGGAAAAAAATTCTCGTCTTGTTGCCTAATCCTCACGGTAAATTTTGCCATTTCGGCATAGTCTATCCATTCTTCCTTCTTCTTTCCATTTTTGGGCAAACAGCATTCTGGCGGCCGTGGTAGCATACTTAAACAATCTCTTTAGGTTCTTTGGTATCTCTTCCCCCACTATTCCGAGCCAAAAGGCTTCTGGTTTTTTATGAAATGTTATCTTAAATAGTTTTTAAAACTCATTATAAATCATTTCCCAGAAGTCTTTTGCTCTTCCACAAGTCCACCACATATGCAAAAAGGTGCCGTCATTATCTTTACATTTCCAGCATACTTTCGTGGAGTTTTTATCCATCCATTTTCATGTAGTTTTTTACCTTAATTTGCCTAATTTGCCCGGGACTCCTCTTTTTCACCTACTTCATCCTGCTGGGAGTACTTTGTTGTACTGGTGTATTTTTTTGTAAATAATTTTTATTAATTTTTCATTAATAACAGTCCAATACAGCAGGAAAAAACAGAATGAAACCGACCTGGGTCCTTAAGAGACACGATGGGCCTGCAAGATACTAGATGGTTCCTGCGGTCGGAGAGAAATAAACTAGACGACAACCAAAGTAACTTAAAGCGAAGCAGCTGTGAAGCCTGACCTTTATTTTGATAGAAAACAACTGCTATGGCAGGGTCCTACCCAATCCAACAGAGAGACAGGCAAGACCTCAAACAAAAGAGGACCGAAACTTTTATAAGTTTCTAAATTACATATGCACACCTCTAAAAGTACATCATTACTACATCATAGATTCGTCACACAAGGGGAGGTTTGGTGGCAGTAACCTGAGTATGGGGAGACTGCCCCTTCCCTCCTCATGACCTTCACCAGACACCTATAGATGAAGACAAAGGGGATATTTACAGTTTCCTGACCCTCCCAGTCAGGTTAATCACAGTCTCTTTGTTTAGTCAAGACCCAAATTCTTTCTTGGGTAGTCTGTCTTTGTTCTTGAGATGGCTACCTGTCTGACACCTGGGTCTGATATTATCTCTTGGGCAAGGCTCGTTGAGTACGTGATCTCCTGCTTTGGGGTTATGGTTGCCAGGTTCACATCTCAAGCCCTCCCCTTTGGTAGCCATCTTTCCCCTTAGCAGACTTAAATTGGAAGGGTGAAGATCCATGGAACGGTCAATTTATAAGAATATTTTGAAAGTTTGCGTAATTGGAGAAGGACCTTATAGACAGGAAGTAATTAATTACAGTGGATACGTTGTAGCAATTCAGTTACGCTAATCAATTGCTCTTTGACATAGTGGATCAATGAAGGGAGCATATGGGATGACACTGCAGTACCAGTGTAGTAAACACAAGATGGCGCTGTTTGGTTGTGTTCATTGGTCCGTGCTTGACAGGTCATTTAAGTAAGCTGTTTTGAACCCCCAGTCTACCTTGCCTTTAGGCAGATCGCTTGTCTCCCGTTGAGTTTTTTCTCCTGGCTGCCCTTATTTGCAGGGGCCGTTTCTTAATACTAAAAACTATTATTAGGGGAGCAAGTTCTTTCTTGGACATGAATGCAGATTGTTGTATCAAGTTTTTCCTAGGTGGGGTTGTGGGGCGCTGATGTTTGTCCTCTGGCTTTTGACAGGAACGGAACTGCTGGAAGTGCTACCGGTTCCTGACTCCGTGGCATGTCTGGCCACCCCCTGGGTGTCCTTGCATGTTTGCATAAAGATCACCTCGGGCATATGCCCCCAGTTGTCTGAAGATTTGTATCCGTTAAATAAACTGTCTTTCCTTATTTTCCTGTCTGACCGCTTTATGTTTTTTCTTAGCGCTAAGAGTATTGCAACAGTGTAAAGGGAAATGGCAATCTAATACCCTTAGGGATATTTACAGTTTTCACATATTCAGTTACATAGTTGTCAACTTTGTTATATACACACATTTGAGAAGATACATTTTTGAAAGCATATCTGACAGTTTCTTGGACCGGATCAAAGTCCAAGAAGCCAGGACAGCTGCGATCCCGCTGGCTGATCTAGGTTTTGGCTTAGCCACGCAAAGCCTCCACAGGGCAGCGGGGAGCTATCCCTGGCTTTTGTGGGAGGTGGGAAAATGGACAGAGCATGCGGCCCCCACCTCCCAGAAAAGCCCCCAAGAGCCGCGCTCCCTTTAAAGAGCACACGGCTCTTGCGGGAGCCGTACAGTGGTACCTTAGGTTACATACGCTTCAGGTTACATACGCTTCAGGTTACAGACCCTGAAACCCAGAAATAGTGCTTTAGGTTAAGAACTTTGCTTCAGGATGAGAACAGAAATCGGGCTCCGGCGGCGCAGCAGCAGCAGGAGGCCCCATTAGCTAAAGTTCAGGTTAAGAACAGTTTCAGGTTAAGTATGGATCTCCGGAACGAATTAAGTACTTAACCTGAGGTACCACTGTATTCAGGGCTGTGTAGGAAATTGCCTTTCAGGCAAATTGGCTATGGCCTGAGGGTTTTGTCGACATCATAGCAATCATCACATGTTTGGTGGTTTAGGCACTGGGTAACCTTGGTCTTGGCTGGAGGGGGCATTTGTACCCTCACCTCACCTTCCCCAAATAGGGTACCCCGATAAAGGGATCTGTGTAGGAGTTGCTTCTGTCCATATGCCCAAATGGGGACCTGAGCCTCAGTGCTCCTCTAGGCAGCAATCCCTGCCAGGATTACCCCATTAGATGTAAGTCATAGGAATCCCCACTGCTGGGTTGACCCTTGAAGTCATTTCTGGCAGACGGTCCAGAAGTAAATTGTTACCCATTGCCTAGGCCAAACCTCTTCATCTGTAGTCAATAAAGTTGTGGCCTGATTCGATCCCATACTGATTGTGTGGTGCCCTTCATTTCTGGTCTGCATGGTGAAGTGGCAGGGGGAATGCATGACCTGGGTCTGCAACTTTCTGCTTTGTGCACGTGTGGGCACTCATTAATCCAGGTTTATCACTGGGGGCCTGACTGGTATCTGTGGTATGCAGTATCTTCTACCAGCCTTTGTTTGAAGGAACTTTCACATTTTGCCCCATAACATTCTTTCTAGGGGGGGGGGGAGAACATTACTATTCTTGAAAGCTCTCTTTGGGGTTCCTACCCAGGGGCATCAGTGAAAGCCTTTGCAGATGCCATGGAACCCACAGGTGCCAGGAAAGAAACTCCTGGCTTAATTTCAGTAACTCAATCACTCATGTTGTTCCCCTGAAATACACTGCATATTTTTAAGTCTGTGAAGAAAGACAGAAAGATGGACGGAAGGAAGGAAGGAAGGAAGGAAGGAAGGAAGGAAGGAAGGAAGGAAGACACTAAATGATTTTGCAGACAACTCAACTAGTGTTTAATTTGTTTGGGAACATGTTATAGCAATGGCCCTAGTACCTGATACCTAAAAGCATCTTTTCAAACATGCCTCATATTGGAAACCAAAGTTTTCTGTGCTGCGGCACAAGTTGTTCAATCATGTCTCATTAGGATTCTTCACTTTTCCTATGAACAAGATGGTGCTGGTTTTCTCATGAACAGTTACCATCAGAAAGGGGTGGTTGATCTTAACTTCAGGGGGCACGGAGTAGGGGACACTTTCAAAAACAGTAGTAGCTGCAGCTTCTGTGCCATTCTCATGGACATTTAAGTAAGCCTTGTGAATAGCCTGCAAAGAAAGATAGCAATACTTCAGTACAACATAGTGACTGAATCAGGATTTTAGTATGAGAAAATCTAGTCCTTCGAAACAGACAAATCCATTGAATGTCTTAAGAAACAGCTTCATGTGGTCACTTCTCATTCTGATTAGCTATTAATCTAGTCCTCTTAACCATCTCTAAGCATCATCTTTTTGTATCAGTCAGCTTCAAGGAACTGATGGAATTTTCAGAAAATCTTGCCTCTCCCTTAATGATGATGAGAAGCAAGATCCCTGTCTGTTCTGATGGTTGCCCCCCAAAAAGCTCAGCAGCTTTGAGGTTCATTCCCCTCCAAAAGCTGAACAACTTTTGTCTCCAGATTTTAAATTCTTGAAATATGGCAACTCTATAAAATACATTATATACTTATAATATAATTACAAAATTACGCTGCAGAAACATAGTGTATGTGTACACACACACACGGTTAATCAAAGGTTTGTTTGTTTGTTTGTTGTTTTAAAAAGAGACAATGCATGAGCAGGTCAGACATAAGCAGGTACGTAATACAAGTACGTAATACAAGTATACAAGCAGGTACGTAATACATAAAAATTACATTCCTCCTCCATCCCCAATGCTAACTGCAGTCTTCACAAAGCTAATGAAACCTAATTTTCTGCTCATTAGCATTCAGAAGTGAGGAAGCTGTGGCCCTCCTGATGTTGTTAGATCCCAACTCCCCACAACCCCAGGCTACATGACCAAGGGTCGGGCATGATGGGAAAAGGAAGAAGTAGAGCTTCAGGGTCTCTCAATAAGTTCTGTTGGGAGACCAACTGCATTGGGGCTTCCCTTCAACTGTCTTCAAGTAAAGCTGGGATACAAAATATGTTTGGCTCCTCCTCTCCATGAGAGATGGGATTGTGGTTCAAGTACTCTAAATCCCAAATTATATTCATCTGAACCTTCAGACAAGTGTACCTCTGGCCTAAAATGCAGGGTGAAAGAAAATATAGAGCCTTTGGGTAAGAGGGTGAATTTGGAGGAACCTACCTTGGAAACCTTCAGCTCAGGCTTCCCGGTAATTCCAGAGAGGTCTGCTCTGTTTGTGAATACCTCTGTAATATTCATTTTTCTTAACATCTCTTGGAGAACATAGTTGCTAGAGATTGTAAACCTTGGAAGGGCAAGCTCTATTCTCCTGTTGAAAGAAGAACCAGAGGCTAGTGAGGTATTGCATGGGGTGGGGTGCATAATACAAATAATGACAATTTACATTATGGCTAGAGTATAATTGCTAAAAGGATTTAAATTTAAAAATGGTAGTCCATGATAACATTGCTAAAAAGGAATATATTTGTTTCTTTTTTGTAACAATGGGATTGTATCCACTACTAGTCCCACTCATTCCCAATGAAATGAATAGACAGGACTAAAATAGCTCTGTTACTATGACTACCCTCACCTGATATAGCCAGGTGAGGGTATAAAGGCTGTTCCTGGGGTGTGGCCATTGTCACACGCTGAGCCACATGATAGAAGCCACAGATGAGAGCTGAGTGCAGGGGGGACAGACCAATAGTGGATGAACTACCCAGAAGACGCATGATGTGTCCCCCATCAAGGGAGTAGCCAGGATTTATTTTAGAGTGGGGCAGGCTTTATGTTATGGGGGCAAAACAGAGTTATCTGTGACACAATTGGTCAGTTAGTTAAATTTTTTTGTTTTGTTTTTTAGGCAGGGAAGCTGCCCTTGTGGCTACACCCATGTCCCCCATCAGATATATTGCCCCTCGCCTAACACCACATTATTAATAATAATAATAATAATAATAATAATAATAATAATAATATTTATACCCCACCCATCTGGCTGGGTTTCCCCAGCCACTCTGGGCAGCTCCCAACAGAACATGAAGGAGGAGGAGGAGGAGGAGGAGGAGGAGGAGGAGGAGGAGGAGGAGGAGGAGGAGGAGAAGCAATAAAATATAAAACATTAAAAACATCCCTAAACAGGTGGTCAAGATGGTCTTGTTTATCCCATAGTCATCACGTGGGGTTCCAACAGAAATCAAGCATGGCTCGCACTCTCTGGCTTCTGCCTGCTTCAAACCCACACACAAACATTTCCCCTGGCCTTTCACCTTCTCACCACCAGTCAGGAAAAAGAGATTGTGTCCCAAAGCAACTTCCTTTTTTTATACTAATGACCCATACTTAGGGGCCATTATGGTCCTGTCCTGGATAATTCCACAATGGAATCGTTCACTGGTCCAGGAATTAGAAGGGATCATAAAGCCTAATCCCACACCTCAAATTCACAGCACATGCATTGAAAAGTGTGTGTGTGTGTTCCATACTTTCCACTATGATCTCTTACCATGGTTTCACCAATTTCATCCATTTTAACAAAACGTCTTTGCTAAGAGCATTTTCCACCTGCTTCATTTTTCCTTGGTCAGGAAGAATAAAGAATGCTGAAACGTCGCCCTTGTAAGGGAGCTTCACAACCTCACAGGATAGGATGTTATCACGGTAAGTCTCGAACCGGCTGTCTTTGTTCATCATAGGAACTTTGACCGTTGTTTGATCATCCACATAGAAGTCTCCTTCACTTGTATGCAGGTAATTGAAAGGATTTTTCCAAAAGGCTCATGGAAATAACAATAACAGCATACATGTCATGGAGGGGAGTGAGGAGAAAGAGCAAACCAAAATAATATTTCACGCATAAGGGTGAATAGCTATTTCACACACTCTAAAATCAGGAATACATCAGGATTGACCTTCCCCTGTCCCCTGGAGTGTGAACAGAGACTGGGGGGGTTGGAAAGTTGCCATGGCAACTGGGTGTGAGCTGACAGGAAGAGTCTTGAGCAACTGTTGGTGGGAAGAAAAGGAAGAAGACCTGGGAACCATCTTTGGGCAGGCTGGCTGAAGGTCTGAGCAGGAGATATGCCATGGCTGCACTGCTGTGGGAGACAAGCCCCTCTTGAAATGACCTTGCTGCAAGATCTGGACTCCCTCCATGCAGACTGAAAGTGTAAATAGGTGAATAAACCATGTTTCTTAGAGCTACAACAATCTCCCTGTGTCTCAGTTCTCCGAAGGAGAACCCCATGGGCTCTTGTTGCAGCTCGGCACAGAGTGTGAGTGCCCCACCACCACTTTTGTAACAATATGTTAATAAAGCTTTGCCTCTTCCAGGTAAGCAATGCAGTAACTTCATCATTCTAAGATGTGGGGGCAAAAGAGAACAGATGCTACTGTTCAGCCTTATTTTAGCTATTACAGTGGTACCTCGGCTTAAGAACTTAATTCGTTCCAGAGGTCCGTTCTTAAGCTGAAATTGTTCTTAACATGAGGTACCACTTTAGCTAATGGGGGCTGTCGCCGCGCTGCCAGAGAACGATTTCTGTTCTCATCCTGAAGCAAAGTTCTTAACCCGAGGTACTATTTCTGGGTTAGCGGAGTCTGTAACGTGAAGCGTCTGTAACCCGAGGTACCACTTGTATAGCTTTAATCCAACCCCCTAATCCTAATGGCTGGAGAGGTTTGGATGAAGTGGCGGCGTCCCTCAACTCCACACTCTGGCACTCTGCAAGGCTCCGCTGGTGGGGAGCATCTTTCCTCCATGCACCTGATCAAACAGTGGGTAGAAGCTACTGCGGGTGCTACCCCTTTCTGTGATCACCAAGTAAGTGCCGGGCGGAACTGGGTCAGATACAGATGTGTGGATTACAAGGTTGAAAAAAGGCTATTTAATTCTTCAATATATTTAATTCTTCAATATATTATTATATTATATTATATTATATTATATTATATTATATTATATTATATTATATTATATTATATTATATTATATTATTATATTATATTATATTATATTATATTATATTATATTATATTATATTATTATTATACAGTGGTACCTCAGGTTACATACGCTTCAGGTTACATACGCTTCAGGTTACAGACTCCGCTAACCCAGAAATAGTACCTCGGGTTAAGAACGTTGCTTCAGGATGAGAACAGAAATCGCGCAACAGTGGCGCGGCAGCAGTGGGAGGCCCCATTAGCTAAAGTGGTGCTTCAGGTGAAGAACAGTTTCAGGTTAAGTACGGCTCTCTGGAACGAATTAAGTACTTAACCCGACGAGGTACCACTGTAATATTATTATATATTATCATACTCAGAGCCTTTAATAAACGCTCATGTTTTAGTGGTATCTTGAGACACATGTCTTTATAGCTCTGTTTCTACTTTAGTACCCAATTGCTGAATCACATTTCCAGGAAAATGGGTATCATAATATATTTGATTTGTTTTGATAATGGTGGAGGTCAAGTTTCTGACAGATTTAAGGAACTTCTCTGTGATCAGAAGTCCGAGAAGTTTCTGCTCACACAATGGGCAGACGATGATTCCAGACTAAAGCACCAACAAATCTGGACCTAGAACCACAACTTAAAGTTTAAACTTCTCAGTTTAAAGAACATCTAAGAAGCAAAATGTGTATAAAACAAGTCCATCTGACTTACCTGTCATGTAAATATAGTTCACAATAATCATCACAGCCTCTGGGTCAAGACCCTGGACAACATCATCTAATTTCCCATTGGTTTTGTTCTTTATATATCCATTGATTTGACTTTCAGCTACTGCAGGATTCATAAAGTTAGTTGGAAGAACATCTGCCTCATAAAAATGTTTGGCATCATCCAGGAACTTCTTCACGAGTTTCACTTGGTCATTTGTGAATAGGGCGTTCCCAATGCTCAGCTTGATTTCAGCATTGGGGAGGTTCAACATGTGTAATAGATGGTGGAAACCCTCGTGTATTTCCTGCTCGCTGGTATCTGACTGGTTAAAGCCAAGTCCTAACAAAAGCTGACTTAATGTGGTGTTTTGAGCACCCAGTGACAGTATGGCCAAGGCAGCGGAAATGCTTAGAGGGGAAAAGATAATGTTCTTCTCAGCGGTCTCTGAAGCGACATGGTGGTAGAATCGAAAGGCAAAGTCAGCATTTCCTTGGACTATCTTCACAGAAGGCAAATCTCTGTCACCTTCAGCAAGAGGAGAATGGTCATGGTCCTCCTTGTGGTCAAGAGTATGGTGACAGTGGGCAAAAGCACAGAGCCCAGCCAGAAGCAAACACAGGTAGATGTGAGGCATTGTGTTCCTCTGGAAGTTCTCTGTGGGGAGGGGATCACATTTAAAAATTATCATTGCAACTATACAATGAAGGATGTTGGCATTGTGTTTATGTCTACTTTATATTAACATGGCAGACAATCTTTATTTGTTGCTTTTGTCCTTTGCAGTCTCTTAAGCGTCTCTGGTACTGTTGTGCGGAGGACTCTGGCTTGCATTTCAGCTATTGTCTGGCATTCTGGCAGAAAATGTTTTAAAACCCAATCTTCTCCCTTTGGGCAGAATATTAGGGACAAAATGATCTTTGTTAAAACCCATGTTTTTGTTTTAAAAAAAGAAACAAACATGCCAGCACTCATCCTGAAGACTCATCATGAAGTTGCAATAGGAAGTTCCAAACATTTAACAATTAAAAAATAAATAAATGGTGCCAGTACTGTGTGCCCCCAGAAAAAGCACAGGTTAAAACCTTTGTCAATGACCCAAAATGGAATAAGGTAAAATAAAGCAAAATTTGCCTGATGCTATTTCTTTTTTCTTTTTTCATTTTAATTTTGCATTGTTACATTCAGTTACACCTTTTATCATTCTTTACAAGACATACTATCAACATATATATTACTGTCTATTCATTTTTCTGATTTATACCATTGTGACTTCGCTCCATCCATGCCCAGCTTTCAATATTATTCATTACTATAATATTGTGTTAAGGAAAATTATTTACATATTCCCCATTAGTCACTTTTCTTCTTTTAACCTTAACTTTACGAACTTCAGTCAATGCATATCAATAAATTTGTTTTGAAACGATGTTTTGTCATGTATTCTTCCACACATTCCCATTCTTTCTTTAATTTTTGATTTGATTGGAATCTAGTAGCTGCTGTCATTTTAGCCAGATCTATAAATTCACAAAGCTTGTTTTGCCACTCCGCTACTGAGGGAATGGTGTCCCCTTTCCAGTTTTTGGCTAATGGTAGTCTGGCAGCAGCTGCGGCACATAAAAACACATTTTTCTTATCACTGGGGATGTCTTTTGAGACTAAGCCTAGTAGAAACGCTTCTGGCTTTTTCTCAAATGATGTTCTAACATCTTTTTTAGTTCTTCGTGAATGCTGCTCCATATTTTTCTTATTTTCCCACATCCCCACCATACATGATACATCATTCCCTCCACCTCTTGACATCTCCAACACAAATTTGATTTTAGTTTGTATATCTTGGCTAGTCTGACGGAAGTCATGTACCACCTACATGACTTCAGTACGTGCCTGATGCTATTTCTAACCACCCTTTCAACTCCCCATTTCTAAAGCTGCTTCTATTCTGCAGCCTCCTTTTCAACCCATTTTTCACTATCACCTCCTTTTTCATACCTGCTTCTCTCTTCTCTCCTTTCCTGACATCTCCATTGGCACACAGACCACCCCCTATGGTACCCTCCAAGCCACCCTCTGCTGTAGCAGCATCGGGAAAGGCATGCTTGATACTTACAGAACGTTCAGAGGTGTCTCTGGGAAGAAGCAGGGAAAACTCTTTGCAGTAAGTGGCTATTTATGTTGGGGCACTGTCTCCTTCATTAAACACAACTGACTAAGCCAAGAACAACAAATATTGACCATGGCTTGCACTGCTGGACACCAGTAGTCCCAAGTCTACAGCGTTGTAGCGATCACACAGGGTCTCTGGATGTTTGACGGTCTATTGACCCCTGTGCGACCACTGTGATTGCTTCCCTGCTGCCACTAACCCGTTTCTCTCGGGTACACACTGAGTCCAGACAGTTGTTAACATTAAACCAAATAAATAAGTTTATTTTATAAGCATTAACAAGTTTATGGTTTCAGACAATTTTTCTTGTCAGTTTCTTAACCTTAGTTTCTTTATCAGCCTATACCTTCCTGATACCTTCTAACTGATTATCCCAACTGTTTAACTGACTCCTCTTAACATATTCTCTCACTCTCTCACATCAAACTAGGCCAACCTACAGACTTATCCTCCCTCTCCCTTCTCTAACTCGAGACTGACTTCTTCACAACTCTAACTCTAACTCCTCCCCTTGGGGTCCTATAGGTTAGTCATTTTACAATTAGTTAACCCTTTCCTTATGAACCCAGTATGACGTCACCAACCTAGGAGGGCAAACACCACAAACATACTGTCCCCTCTAGTGAGGATAAAATTGGGGGTGGCAGTGGGTTCTCATACCCCCAATTGTTGCATTTTAAGTGGGACATCATGGATCACAGAAGCCAATCCTGGATTCTGTTTGGATCCTGGAATGTCCCATTTAAGAGGGGCACTCTGGCACAAATCAAGAGGGCCAACCCTGCTGTTTCCAAAGGTCCTGAAGGCAGGCCAAGGAGAAAGGGGGAGAAGGAAAAGGAGGGAACTATTGCCTGTAGTAGAAAAACTTCCAGGGCTTAAGGGAAGGTCTTGGTTTTCGGGAAAAGTGTCTCCCTCTGTGCGTGAGTGACAGCTGTAGTTCTCTGGTGACAGAGAGAAGCAAGAGATAGAACTGGCTGATGGTGGATGTGGGTCAGAAAAATGCAGGTCACACAACCGAAGTTGAATCCTGAAAAGAAAGAGGTGCTTTGCATTCTGGGCAGTGTTGCACATCCTTGGAAGGAGCAGCTCTGTAGTCTGGTGGTACTCCTGGATACAAAATTGTCACTATCCAAGTACTCCCTTGAATATCAACTTAATTGAAGTACATTGTCCACTGCACTGATAAATCTCCCCATTCCCAGAGGGCTAAACTATCCTAAATCCCATTATCACTTTTGAACGCCGGAAAGGACCATCGCAGTGATCTGCCCTTTTTGAAGATAGTTCCAGGAAATATTGGGTTTGCCTCTAGATTACACCACCAGCTTGCTTCCTGGCTTGCTTATAACAACATTTTCTTTTAATGTGAAGAGTGTCTGGTTCACAAAAAAGCATCCAATGTCAGGGGCTGGTCTGAATCGGATGCATTCAAAAATTCATCAGTGGGTTGTCGTTGTGGGAGCAAGACCTAGCTACCACCTCCCCTAAGGCCTTCTCCACCGCTGTCTTGGCTTCTCGTACACTTTCTAATTCTGCCACCTTGGCCTCAAAGGAATGAACTTGATCCCAGGGGACTATGAACTCATTGCACCTCTGACATGCCCATGACTTCTGCCCCATGGGGAGATAATCATACATACGCCGAGGGTGCAAAACATTGAAAATCCCTCCAAGTCCCTACTGACTTTCTACATGCATGGTTGGTTATGTTGTCGTTGTTTTCATCATCCGATTAAGAGTTAGGGATTACATTGGGCAGAATGGGGTGCCCTGGTCTCCTCGCCCTGCTGATGAACTCACATGTCTAAGGCACTTTATCAACCGGAGCTGATTCTGGTTCTAAATTTATATTCTCCTGAGTAGCTCCTCCCAGCTATTGTAGTAGGCAATAAGATCAGGGTGTGTGGCTCAACTTCTGTTAGCCTCCTGGGGACGGGGAGCGAACAATAGGTGCTCATTAGGTGGCTAGCAAATTAAGTTTAAATAGGTTGATTAATCAACCGGCACCCTTCCTGAAGAAAAGCTACTGGAAAAGCTCACTGCTGTAGCTTTTACTTTATTTTTGTTTTATTTACTGCCATCAATCCACTTTTTAAAATGCCTGTTACCATATAGTTTTAAGTGGTACATTGCACTCTTCTTTTGGATCAATTAGCTACCAAAGCTTATGGTGAATAGTTGAGGGAGTTGGTCTGGAGAACAGAAGACTGAGAGATAATATGATGGTTGATGGTCCTCTTCAAATATATGAAGGGCTGCCTCATGGAAAGGGGAGGAAGCTTGTTTTCTGCTGCTCCAAAGCCAATGGATTCAAATGACACAAAAAAAAGGAAGGAAAAAATCAATACAATTGACGGGAAATTAGAAAAATTAGAAAACACAATGGAAAAATGAAAATGAAAATGAAGAAATAAAGAAAAAATAACAGAACTCTTTCCCACATCCCCACCATACATGATACATCATTCCCTCCATCTCTTGACATCTCCAACACAAATTTGATTTTAGTTTGTATATTTTGTCTAGTCTGGCGGAAGTCATGTACCACCTACATGACTTCAGTACGTGCCTGATGCTATTTCTAACCACCCTTTGCAACTCCCCATTTCTAAAGCTGCTTCTATTCTGATAGCCTCCTTTTCAACCCATTTTTCACCATCACCTCCTTTTTCATACCTGCTCCTCTTCTCTCCTTTCCTGACATTTCCATTGGCACACAGACCACCCCCATGGTACCCTCCAAGCCACCCTCTGCTGTAGCAGCATCAGGAAAGGCACGCTGTTCAGAGGTGTCTCTGGGAAGAAACAAGGAAAACTCTTTGCAGTAAGTGACTATTTATGTTGGGGCACTGTCTCCTTCATTAAACACAACTGGCTAAGCCAAGAACAACAAATATTGACTATGGCTTGCATTGCTGGATACCATCATCATCAATCTTTATTACGGTCCAGAGACCCAACAAATCAGTACAAAGCAATACACAATACATACGGCCTACCTCCAGGTTAAACAAGCATTTTGTTCGGAATATAGGGATCTAAAAACTTTGCCACTGCTAATGTTCTAGCGTTTGTTCGGTTTTCCAATAGGAACCAGACATAGTGAGCCTCTGATTTTCCCGGGAAAGGTACCAGCAATGGTAATAACAGTTCAGCCCTGGCTTGCTCATATTTTGCACAGTGCAACAAAATATGTTTTATGGAATCGATGTCTTGAGCACACGAGCAAAGTCTGTCCTGGTAGGGAACTCCTCTCAACCTGCCATCCAACACTGCAGAAGGAAAGACATTTAGTCTGGCTTTGGTGAAAAGCCTTCGATAATTTGGTACTGTCAGATTTTTAATGTAAGATGTTAACTTAAAGACATGCCCATATTGTACTCCTACTGCCAGCAGACTACAGACTGTTGGGAAAAACACCCCCAGGAAGGCTGCCAACTTCCCAAAGCACCGGGGCTTCTCTCCGGTGTTCACTC